CAAAAATAAGATTTATCATGAAAACAACAGTGCGTTTTATATTGATTTTATGCTTAGTCATTCGAAACAAATCAATATTCTTTATATTTGTTGTGCTGGTCAAAAATATAAAAAAGGTTGTTTTTTTGTTTTAGTAGTAGACATAGCAATTATCATTTAGCTATTTAAGATAACACATGACTCACTTGTCTATATACATTTATATCACTATTGTTAGATTATAAAAATGTGTTTGTGATATAACTTGAAAGCAGGCAAAACAATCACCTTTTGTTGAAGTTGTGTTTTTATCGTTATTCATGCTATTTTGTCTGAATTCACTTCTCTGGTAAGAGGGACTGGTAACTTAATTGGACTAATTATTATCTGGAAACTATAAAACCAGTTTATTCAATCGTGTTTCTAATAATTTCCTTTAGCGTAGATTCAAGTTATATTTTTTTTAATTCTTTGTATTATGTTATAAATTTTAAAAACTTTCCTTGCGTAAAACAATATTGATGTTGAAACGTAGCAGTAAGTTATGGCAGCTTGATTATCTTTTAAGTGTTTTTTTTACTGTCTCTCAACACTTCAAACGTGTGTATTGTCATTCTCTCGTCTATAAAAGTTATTGATCCCTCTGCTATGTGTAGGAGAATGCTTCTTTATAGTTTGTGCTAGCAATTTTTTTTTATAAATAACAATATGTATGCATGGCTGTTAAGTTATTTAAATTATTTCGATTCGTTAACCCCCCCCCCCCCTTCCCCCCCCCCCACACACACACAAATATTTTAGTTTTTCACGCTGATCGTTAAGAAAAAAAACATATTTTTAAAAACTTAAATTTCTTTTAGTAGCAGAAATGAACATTTAAGAAATATTTTCACCTGTCTAGAAAAAAGACGATAGTAGTTTAGTAAGGAATTTACGGGGTAGGGAGAGCAAGGTGCTGTTTCGACCACATGAATGACCTAATAGGCCAAGTTAGACGAAGACCCAGAATTTCTCGAACGCCATTATAAATTCAAGTCGCCAACAAGCTTCATGTATCCAATGCGATTTATACGTGTAAGTTTTTAAAGTTTCTTTCAGACAGTATCTTCAGGAAGATGGGGTGGATTTAAAGCACCAACATGGTTGGTGAAGACAGGCGTGGGTAGGGAAGGTGGGAGGGGGGGGGGCATTTTTTATATTTCTGATATGACAACACCACTTCGTTTTTCTTTTGACACTACTCCATGTAGCTTATGTTTTGAGCAATAGTTTCCACGCTAGATAACCAGTACTTTAAAGAAAAAGACCTTATAGGCTCTGGGGTCGTCCATAAATGACATCACACTCGTAGAGGGGAGGGAGGTCGGTAATTTTGTGACGATGTGTGATGAGGGGGAGGGGGGTTAAGATGGTGTGACGTCACACTTTTGCATTATAAAAAAGAAATGTTAGAAAACGAATTTTAGACGTTATTTCGCGTTTTAGAAAACTTAATAAATTGTAATAGGAATTGATTAAAATACTCTATTTTGACAGATTTCAGACACGATTTTGGAAAAATATCGATGTTTAAAAAAAAATTCAACTGCAATTTTGAGGGGGGGGGGGGGGGTTGTATGCTGAGGTGTGACGTCATTTTAGGGGGGTCTGGCTTTTTGTGACGACGTGTGACGGAGGGGAGGGGGGGGGGGGGAGGTAAAAATCATCAAAAAAGCGTGACGTCGTTTATGGATGACCCCTCTCACCCTCGTTTTTGTTTCCCTCAAGATAAAATATGATGTCTTATATTTACATGTCGTCCGTCGGCGTTTTGTTTCGTTGCTTGTGTGTTTTTTATTCGGTTTTCATTTGAGGCCACAAACCACTTTGCAAAGAAATAGTCCTAGCCGAAGTTTTTGGCGTGGCTGTAGACAGAGCCATCACGAGGAGGTGTTGACCCAGGGGCGTAGCGAGGGGGGGGGCGGGGGTGCGGACCGCACCGGGTGACACCATTTAGGGGGGTGACACCAAGGCAAAAAATAGCAAAATATATAGAGAAAAACTTGAGGGAGGGGGTGCAAATCGAAAGTTTGAGGTGGGGGTGCAAATCGAAAGTTTGAGGGGGGGGGGGTGCAAATCGAAAACTTGAAAGTTTGTCCCCGGGAAGAGTCGCTACGCCTCTGGGGGTGACATCATTAAGTGCCGCACCGGGTGAACCCGACCTCGCTACGCCACTGTGTTGACCACACCGGGTGACACCATTTAGGGGGTGACACCATTGCGAAAAATTGCAAAATATCTAAAAGAAAAATGCATATTAACTGTGTACACTTTAAAACTATCACGCGGGTGGGGGTGGGGTGATGCCAACCGCTTCAATTTATGCGCACATTATATTAATCGACCGATTTATTCGTGTAAAAATCATAGTTTTCAACGTAAATTATTAGATTTTTTGTGTCACCCCCCCCCCCCCCCCCATCACAATTCGGTCTTTGATTGACATAAGTTATTCAAAATACTCAACAAAACATTTCTTCCTCTTTAAATTAAATTTTGTAGTTGGTGTGTAAGTTACTAGTAAATATATTTATCTATAGCCAGTTATTAACATAGGTTGATTAACTCTAATTAATCATTAAAATTGAAATAGCAAAACAAAAAAGAATGTTTCTTCCAGAGGCGTAGCGACAACTCCCGGCGCCCGGGGCGAACTGTCAGTTTGGCGCCCCCCCCCCCTCATATATATATATATATATATATATATATATATATATATATATATATATATATATATATATATATATATATGTTGTTCCCTAAAACTTCACTGGACGCCAATTAAATCCCCCTTAAAATGCCGAAACGAATAAAAAGTAGAAAATCAAAAGAGCTTAGAACAGTGGGCTCCATCGAACCCGAGAGGTTCGGTAATTCAGTCTCAGTACTTCCGCGGAGGTCAAGACACAATCGGATTTTGACATTGTGGACGATACAACTATTAAGACGGGTTCGGTGATTGCGTATATGAAACTGGTGGAGTTCGGTACTCCAAAAAGATAAGAACCACTGCTTTAGAATGTAGTTTGTAGAAGGTGCAAGCCTTATTTGGTCTACTTTTGGTCGTGTCTTTAGAACAATTTCGATAATAGTAGGCCAATATTGCAATTTTGAATTATCAGTTAGGTTGAACAAAGTAATAATCAGTACAATATACTGATTTTCTTCCTTCTTAAAATTTTGGCAAAGAGTGTCGCTTCCCATCCACCCGCTCCGACAGTCTGTTTTTTACTGATCGGATATCGATACAAGAATCCGTTATATTTATTTCTCTTTAATGCAGTGATCCAGGCAAGATGTAGTGCATTCAAGTAAAAGTATCTGATCTATCACGATCAAGTTGAGAGAATCGTAAGAATCGTACAAAGAACTAGTCGCATTATTACTTAGCAAAACTCGGTAGCGAAATCGTACATTAAGTGTTAATAAAATTGGTTTCTTTTCTAAGTGTTAAAAGAGTTTTCTAGTCACCGATCTAGCACAAATCCTGCGGTTTTTGTTAGTGAAAAAGCGCCCCACCATCTTGGACAAAAATTGTAGAGCGGATTTTAAACGTCACTAACTCTTTTTACTTTCTCGTATATACGTAGTATAGAGAAAGTATTGTAATCGTGCAAAAAAAAAAAAAATCGAGATTTTTACAAATCTCGACGTTTTACACCTCACTGATACGGAAAAACAAAATTTTGCAATCTTGTCCGTATGTCTGTGTGTGTGTGTGTCTGTGTGTGTGTCTGTCCGTGTGTAAACACGATAACTTGAGTACCGTTACAGCTAGGTTGATGAAATTTCATATATAAGTATTTTATCAAAATCGTAGATCCGTATCAACTTTTGAGCGATTTCCGATAACCGGAAGTGGTACTTTTCCTACTTTGAATTTTTTAAAAGCCTATAACTTGAGTACTATTTCAGATAGATAAATGAAATTTCACATGTAAGTAAAAGATCTAATTCTCTACCTTCTGTTAAATTTTGAGTAATTTCCGTTGACTGGAAGTAGTAATTTACGCTACTTCCGATTTCTCAAAAAACTAATGTAAATTTTAAAAGTACTAATAATATTGCGCACTATTATGCGCTTTTTTTATTTGCGTTCACTTGGTGTGCAATTAATTTGTCTACAAGATTTTATTCTATTTTTAAAACTTTAAGTATTTAAAATGGATTAAAAATCATGTCTATAGCCCGAGTTTCCATCCCCTCTTATTTTATATAAGAATATTCGAGAAAGTTTAGGGGAGATCACTCCCGGTTTATTTATGTTACACTATCGTAAAATACGCTTTAGTTCAATGGGTTTATTTTCTGAGTGATATCGGTTATTTATTCCTATATCCGGTGTGAATTTTTCCGATTTTAGTCTTCGAAAAAGCGCGCCCCCTCCCCATCTAGGAGAGCTGGAAAGCAGTTTTTCCGGTCACTGTTTCTTAAAGATATACATTTTACAGTTACACAATCAAGGTAGAAAACAGTTAAAACAGTATGCAAGGGCTCGCAGCCGTTAAATTTCTTTACTTTGACCGTTTATAATTCAAAACTGCAGCTTAAAATGAGCTTTTAATTTTTTTTCTACCCCTTTTGGCGCCCCCTTAGGGTCGGCGCCCGGGGCGGCCGCCCTCCCCGCCCTCCCCTAGCTACGCCTCTGGTTTCTTCTAGATCTAGATCTAGATCTAGATATCTAGATCTAGATCTATTCTGAGCTTTTCGACCTAAAATCTGTCTTTATTTTTTATTATTGAAATGTCTAAACGTTAACAGATCTACGACATTTTGATGCTGTTTCCTCAACTTAGATATAGATTTAGATGTAGCTAGATCTAATTATTTTTAACAGAATAGATTTCATTTAGAAATATTGTTTTTAAAAATTCTGCTTGCTCACAATAAAAACATTTAAGTTTTTAAAAAGTCAATTTTCAAGGGCTGTAACTCTTAAAATGATTGTAATGTTTACAAACTCTACGTAGGAAAGACTTGTTCTCGTTTCAGCTGATCATGAATGGCTTTGATTATTCCTGACTCATCGACATGTGACATAAGTATAAGTTCTGAAGTTTTGCAAGATCTAGAACCTAGATCTTCTCTATATGATTGATATAGATCTAGAATCTAGTATTGCCTTAGATTGTTAGGTAAGTAAAACTACTCTTCTAGAATAGATGGGTGAGACTAACTCACAACTGTGGAACTGTTGTAAAGTGTAAACGTAAACTGTGTAAACTGTAGATGTAGAGTGTAGTGAATATTGAATATAATCTATATAGTCAAGTGACTACTGGAGAGTCTATAATAGATCTTCTAACTACTAGGCTACTCTAGTTACTAGTAGTAGTAGTAGATATATGTGTAATTATTAGTGTAATAGTAATATTTAGAATTTAGCCTAATTAGTAGAATTAAGTAATCTATCGTTTTAGGTACGTAAAATGAGCCGAGGCTAGTAATGTGAAAAAAGGGCGACCCATCAAATTTTTGTAATTATTTCACATTTTTAGAAAGATTTATGTTGTAAAAGTTTTACTGAAATGTTTCAACCCTTCATTCATGTACCTGTTTTTAAACAATTGTATTAAAACTTTTCAGTAATAAATAAAGATTAGCGATGTTTTCATCAGATGCAACTAAGTTCATTTACTTTAGAAGCCATCTTAAGTTTTTTGGTAACATTTTAGCTAGAGATTCGGGGGAAACCACTCTTATTTATAGATGGCCGCTGTTTATATAGTATATAGCAAATCTTGCTCGAAAACAAGGACAAGGTTGTTTAAGTCAATTTCTTGCCTTTTTTCTTGATATATTTAGACATTGCTTTTGGTTTATTATTATATGTTATATGTGACACAAAAATATAATAATATACTTGTATTTAAGGCATATTAATGAGCCACCTTTCTCGCACATTACTAGCCTCGGACAATTTTACGTACCTATAATTATAATTATACAATAATAATATTTTAAATTTTAATTTATGTACTCATTGTACTGTCACAGTACTAGATCAGAGAGCTATATACCTTAGAGATCTATGTCATGTGAATGTAGGTAGTAGATAAAACTTTCTTCAAGTAGTGGGCTGGATAGATTCAATGGATAATTCTGTAAACTTGTAAACTAATGTAAACTCTAACAACCTAAATTAGATTTCTAGATATTAGATCTAGATTAGATTTTAGATATTAGGGTTGTCGGTATCGGCCGAGATCGCGGTAAAAACATGACCCGAAATCTCCCATTACTTTTTGATACCGGGCGCACGAGATTTGGTTTTGCATACTAATAAGTTTTTAATTTATGGTAATTAATTAAGTTTAAAAGGTCATTTCCTAATGTTAAATGAAAAGTAGAATGGTTTTTTCATTGTTTTGATGGCTTAGCGATCTGATTGCTGTCTCTGCTTTTGTCTTCCCCCTGTATGAAGGCTAGTTTCAAATACGTTGGAATCACGATTTTTTAAAAGGTTATTCTAGATGAGAGAAGATTACTGAGCAGACATATCTTATGTCAGTCCAAAATCAACAGTCAGTTTTTTATAAGTCATATTTATTTTAACAACACACCAGATTTAAAACAAAAAGTATTTTATACACCATTTCATTTTGACTCACGGCTACCCCCATTGATTCCCTCTCAGCAAATACGACAGACGCCATTGTGTTTTGTATGTTGAAGGCCTAGTAAATCTCGAATCTTGTACACCAGGGGTCTCCAAACTACGGCCCGCGGGCCGAATGCGGCCCGCGAAGTCCTCTGATCCGGCCCACGGAGATCTTTTTGTCTAAGGAAAAATCGTTTGTTGGTGATGGCTGAGGAAATTTTGCCCAGAAAAATTAAAGACATGCCTGGAAGAATCTGGCCCCTGAACTGAAATTTGATAGTTAATGCGGCCCTCAGACAGAAAAGTTTGGAGACCCCTGTTGTACACTATAGTGGTTTTACACAAAATTTTACTTCTCTATTTGTAACAGTAATATAATGCCATAAATTATAATTACTTAATTAATGATTTCATGAATACTAGATCCAGAGTTTTCCTGCATCCAGAGAAGATTCCCTTGTCATACAAAAATAAAACTTTGTTATTTTTATTTTAGATTAGAACCTTCCATAATAACTCTCCGGTTTCCTTTTTTTAAATACAAACATATTGATGGACATCATACTCTAGTTATGCAAATAATACAGCTACATTTTAATGTACATTTTCAATAATAGTGCACACATCTAAACATTTATTAAGGATCTGCTTGATTTAATAGTAGTGTTGATGTAAATGGTCAGATTTTGACTGAAAAGAAATACTCAGCTCAGCAAGGATGAGAATAACTGATACAATGTATAAAATATTGATTTTTACTATCCATTATTACCAATCTTCTTAAAATTCCCCATTTCCACATATTTGTGCATATATTTCTGATCATGGTACATTAGCCTTTAGGAACCTTGTTTTATTCCCTATTGTGATAGCAACATTTTTAACATTTAATATTTAAAGGCAAAAAAAAAACCCTTTCTAAAGTTATGGATTCAATTTTAAAAATATTCTCATCAAAGCATGTAAAAGTTATTTGCGCTGTGATGCTACATTATCCCTAGATTAACGGTAGAAATTGAAATTAAACTTGATATTGATATGATATAGCATTTGTAGAGGTAACACATGAATTACATCTACAGGTTTCATAGATGGGCCATTGTATTCTACTTTACAGAATGATAAGGCTAAGGGTACATACTTAAAAAAAAAATCACCATGTTTTGGTATTTTGATAACTGATTTAAAAATAAATTAAAACACTTTCATGTGCTTCAATAACCTCTTATCTGTGCTAAAGCACTGTACTAAGGACCTCCTAATGATAACACACTTTTCCATCTGCATTAGTCTGCCACTGTTATCACCCCTTTATCACAAAAATCTGAACTTTAAATGGATGGTACAGATTGTGTTTAATCTATTGGTTTCTTATCAGCTCCAGCTACATGTGTACTAACTATAGATCTATTGGTACAGTACAGTGACTTGTGGTGAACTATGTAGTGATAATGTGTTAATGAAAACTGAACTGAATAGTGCTTTGTTAAGTATCTAGTAACGTTTGTGGAAAATATTTTTAAAACTATCTTTTAAGTAACTGCTTACAATATGTTTTTCTGTTTCTTCAAGTCTAAGGGGATGACTAATGAACTAAGGCTGTAACTGTGAAGACAGGTAAGAAAACATTGTGTGAGTTAACAAACAGATATAGCCTTGTTTACTGATACTGTCTTTAGTTCTCTGTTTTAAGTTAATTTTAAAGCTAATTGTTAATCATGTTTTGATTTTATTCCATTCATTTTTACTTTCCTGTTTTTATTCAGTTTTAGTTTTCCCATCTATATTTTGATTAATTAGATTTTCTGCTGCTGAAATGATTGAGAAAATTTTAATAAATTTAAAATATTAAACTATAACTTGTGAAAGCTATATCATATTTTTTACTGTTTTTTTCTAATGACGACAGAAAGTCTATACATTTTTGTTTTGTGAGAAAATATTGAGTGGATAATTTTTTTTTATGTGTGTATTTCTGAAAATACTTTTTAATGTAACTCTAGTTACCAGCTGTGGACAACAATGTCGAGATCTCAGAGAACCTCGTCACACAGCTCGTACAACTCCATCAATGCCAGTGGTCGCTACTCTCACCACAGTGATGATGATGGGGGTGACGATGAGGCGGACTCACTTCTACCATCCTACGCTGATGTGGAGAAGAAGACTCGAGATATGGCAGGTATTTGAAAATGTTACTAACATTAGGATAAAAATGAACATCAAAAACTTTATTCATTAGTAGATGAGTCACTGCAGGCCTTTTTGTATTTTTAAGATCATTCATTCTTCTTCTTTCTTCTTCTTCGTTCTTAATTTTTAGTGTTGGAAGGGATCAAGCCTAATCTGCCAGAGGCCATTGACTCCGATTTCAGCCTGCTTTTCTTTTTTTTTCACTGCCCATCACACATGCTCTGGTATGGGCAGCTAACCAAAGCTCTTGAGAATTTCTTACCTGCACTTGTCTTACCTTACTTGTCTCCAGGTGTAGCCCATTTTGGTGGTGTCAGCCTCAAGGGTGCCAGGTGTTTCTTGGTTGGCCCCTTTTTACACTTTATGTTAAGACCAGCAATCTGATATGCATTAAGAATTTCAAACCTAACATTTGTGTATGGTATAAAATAAACTTCTGGGTTGTTTATTACAATTTTAAAAAATCAACACGCTCCTTCAAAAAAAATGATGCGTGTAAAAGTTATTCTTAAACACTGAAAAAGAAAAATACAGTATTATTATGAAAGGAGTTTCTGAGATGTTTTAAAATAACAATTTAATAATAAAATCATTATAGTTTGGTCCAATGCTATACTGTTTCTTTTATTATTTATAAATGTTAATTAAACTTTTATTTCCACTCCTGTATAAACTTATAAGGAGTATTTTATTTTAATGTAACTAATAAAACCTGACTTTTAAAAATTTCTCTTGCAAAAATAAAACATTGAGGTGCAGCTATTTAATATGACTCTCAGACTTGTGAATGTTTATATTTGATTCTATGTGTTGTATCTCTCACCTATAATTACAGCGTTTTTTCCAGTGTCTTCTTAACACATGTTCCTTTTTGATGGTCCCATACGCGTTGTTTGTGTCTACTATCTCAGTCAATTTTATCCTCCCCAGGATCCCAATGAATGGCAGCCAGGCAGTTCCCAGAAAAATGCGCAAATACAAACTAATTATACTAAAACACTTACATTTTTCATGTTTCATGGAAATATGTTTTATTAGGCTACAATTTACATGTGGTCATTTTTTGTTAGTGCCTGTAAATGCTTGATTCAAGAAAACATAAATGACCTTGCAAACATATTGTGCACAATTTCTATATCTCTGTTTTCTGGTAACCCACCCAGGCATGTTGTGTGTGTCTACTATCAAATTCTCCCTCCCCAGTGTATGGCACCCAGGCATGTTGTGTGTGTCTACTATCAAATTCTCCCTCCCCAGTGTATGGCACCCAGGCATGTTGTGTGTGTCTACTATCAAATTCTCCCTCCCCAGTGTATGGCACCCAGGCATGTTGTGTGTGTCTACTATCAAATTCTCCCTCCCCAGTGTATGGCACCCAGGCATGTTGTGTATGTCTACTATCAAATTCTCCCTCCCCAGGGTATGGCACCCAGGCATGTTGTGTGTGTCTACTATCAAATTCTCCCTCCCCAGTGTATGGCACCCAGGCATGTTGTGTGTGTCTACTATCAAATTCTCCCTCCCCAGGGTATGGCACCCAGGCATGTTGTGTGTGTCTACTATCAAATTCTCCCTCCCCAGGGTATGGCACCCAGGCATGTTGTGTGTGTCTACTATCAAATTCTCCCTCCCCAGTGTATGGCACCCAGGCATGTTGTGTGTGTCTACTATCAAATTCTCCCTCCCCAGTGTATGGCACCCAGGCATGTTGTGTGTGTCTACTATCAAATTCTCCCTCCCCAGGGTATGGCACCCAGGCATGTTGTGTGTGTCTACTATCAAATTCTCCCTCCCCAGTGTATGGCACCCAGGCATGTTGTGTGTGTCTACTATCAAATTCTCCCTCCCCAGGGTATGGCACCCAGGCATGTTGTGTGTGTCTACTATCAAATTCTCCCTCCCCAGTGTATGGCACCCAGGCATGTTGTGTGTGTCTACTATCAAATTCTCCCTCCCCAGGGTATGGCACCCAGGCATGTTGTGTGTGTCTACTATCAAATTCTCCCTCCCCAGTGTATGGCACCCAGGCATGTTGTGTGTGTCTACTATCAAATTCTCCCTCCCCAGGGTATGGCACCCAGGCATGTTGTGTGTGTCTACTATCAAATTCTCCCTCCCCAGGGTATGGCACCCAGGCATGTTGTGTGTGTCTACTATCAAATTCTCCCTCCCCAGTGTATGGCACCCAGGCATGTTGTGTGTGTCTACTATCAAATTCTCCCTCCCCAGTGTATGGCACCCAGGCATGTTGTGTGTGTCTACTATCAAATTCTCCCTCCCCAGGGTATGGCACCCAGGCATGTTGTGTGTGTCTACTATCAAATTCTCCCTCCCCAGTGTATGGCACCCAGGCATGTTGTGTGTGTCTACTATCAAATTCTCCCTCCCCAGGGTATGGCACCCAGGCATGTTGTGTGTGTCTACTATCAAATTCTCCCTCCCCAGTGTATGGCACCCAGGCATGTTGTGTGTGTCTACTATCAAATTCTCCCTCCCCAGGGTATGGCACCCAGGCATGTTGTGTGTGTCTACTATCAAATTCTCCCTCCCCAGGGTCTCAATGTATGGCATCCAGGCATGTTGTCTGTGTCTATCATCTCAGTCAACTTTTCCCTCCCTAGGGTCCCAGTTTATGGCAGTCTCTCATCTCAGTCAAATTCTCCCTCCCCAGGGTCTCAATGTATGGCGGCCAGGCATGTTCTGGCCCTGATGGCCTTCCTTGGGTTTGTGAATGTCTACTGTCTCAGGGTGGACCTCAGTGTGGCACTGGTTGCCATGGTGAACTCCACATCCTCCAAAAACTCCACTGGCAGTCAGGAGTGTCCTGATCCGCAGGGTGGGAACTCTACCTCCACAAAAAAGGTAAGTAAAGTTCTCCTTTCAGACGTAGCAGTTAATAGGGCAGATGAAGTAGAGTTCATCTGTTTCTTGACCTTGCCATATTAAAGAATGGTTTAGTCTGCACTATGCCCAGCTCCCTTTACTTTCCCCTACGTGATCAGATACCCATCAGAGCTAGTATTGACTAGGAACGACCTGCTGTCACGGGTAATTATCAAGATCTGAACTCGACACCTTCGTGCTAGCAGTTAAGAGCTCTGCTACTCAACCACACTGTACCATATACAAAAAAATGAAATGTTTCACTTTACACATTTTTAAAATTTCTTCATACTGATTAACTCTTTCTATATTTTTATAAATTTCATATGAGTTAGCAATCCCTTACACCTAGTTTACACCTAAACTTAATCTTAAGTGTTAAAGTATCTTCAACCTATATAAAGTTTGCTAATCAATACACTTTTAATTAGCTTGTTATTCTTTAAAAAATTTAGTCTTATAACTAAATTTTACAATTATGAGAGCACAATTCGACATCATAGAGAAAGATGAATTGGTTGAATCTAAATTACTCATTCACAATAACTAATAACCCTAGCAACAACAGGCATTCTAGGTAGTAGCTAGGACATAATTTGATACTTAGATATATAATTTTGAAAGTATCCATAGAGTTATAAACTCTTTATTTTTAAAACTGAGGTTGTGAGTCTGTAATTCTGTAATTAATATCATTTATAAGATTCCTGAAGATTTCTTCCCCTCCTAGAGCGGAGAGTTCAACTGGAATGAGGAAACACAAGGCTACATCCTGGGAGCCTTCTTCTACGGCTACATAGTGACCCAACTGCCTGGTGGGTGGCTGGCTTCTAAATTTGGAGGGAAGAATCTCTTTGGATTTGGGGTTCTGTGTACCAGTGTCCTGACAATCATCACGCCATTTGCTGCCAGGTTCAGTGTTTACATGCTGATAGCTGTCAGGGTGCTGGAGGGTATTGGGGAGGTAGGAACCTTAAGATAGCTTTGATTGTTTATACACTTGTTTAGAATTGTAGTACAACTACGTTTTAATTTAATTTACAAATGCATGTTTTAATTTCAGGGTGCAGTCACTTTTATAAATGAAAATGCAGCCTAAATATGTGAAGTCTTTTACGTACTCTTCTTGTGTGTTGTTTAGTATTTATTTTTGTATATTTTCTTGTAACGAATTTTTTTTTCGTTTTGGTGTTTGATCTTGTGAAACTATCATGTGTATGGTTATACCAGCATTAAATCAAACATGCTGACCTGTATTGGAATCATACCGAAACTGTTTATTTTACAAAAAACAAAGAATCTCTGACAGTAATCCTAACATCCCAATATGCATTTGTTTAAAATTGATTTAGCCAGCTGTTGTATCTCTCTGAACTCATATATTAATGGCCTGCCCCCATTATTATTATCCCCATACTCACACTCTCTTGCACAAAACTCAAATCACTGTTATAACTATATATATAAAATACCAGTGAAATCTAAGAACTACATCACAACAAGATCACTCATGTCTAAACTACACTGTAATCTAATTGTAATAACTATTGTAATTCAAAACATTTAATTATTTTATCTTTATTTAAAATGAAAAATGTATTATTTTAATTAAAACATTTACTTTGTTGTCTATCTAAATGTAATTAATGGGATAACAATTGTTAAAAGAAAGTCTACACTTGTTTACATTAGGTTATATTTTTGTTATTTGTTACAAAAACTTTTAGGGTGTGACGTTTCCTGCCATGCATGCGATGTGGGGAAGCTGGGCTCCGGTATGGGAGAGAAGCAAGCTTGCAGCATTCACCTATGCAGGTAAAATATACTTCTTTTTTTTATTCAAAATTTTAAAATTTCTTATATTGGTAAATATAATGTAGTCATTTTAATTTATAAGTCATTTAAAAATATAATTTTCCCCAAGATCTACTTGAATAATTTTAAACAATTTCAAAATAGGATATTTTATAATTTAAATGTCTCAGAATAATTGACATTTAAATAACATATGTATTACCCAAAATTGATTGGTGTTTTCACTTTGACATCTGTTATATATCTTAACTTATCATTACGTACAGGTGCTCAACTTGGTACAGTTATCTCCCTGCCCATCTCTGGGATACTGTGTGATAGTGACATTGCTGGTGGCTGGCCTTCAGTCTTCTATATATTTGGTGAGACTGACACTTTTTCTCATACATCTTCTATATATTTGGTGAGACTGACACTTTTTCTCATACATCTTCTATATATTTGGTGAGACTGACACTTTTTCTCATTCATCTTCTATATATTTGGTGAGACTGACACTTTTTCTCATGCATCTTCTATATATTTGGTGAGACTGACACTTTTTCTCATACATCTTCTATATATTTGGTGAGACTGACACTTTTTCTCATACATCTTCTATATATTTGGTGAGACTGACACTTTTTCTCATACATCTTCTATATATTTGGTGAGACTGACACTTTTTCTCATTCATCTTCTATATATTTGGTGAGACTGACACTTTTTCTCATACATCTTCTATATATTTGGTGAGACTGACACTTTTTCTCATACATCTTCTATATATTTGGTGAGACTGACACTTTTTCTCATAGGTCTTCTATATATTTGGTGAGACTGACACTTTTTCTCATAGGTCTTCTATATATTTGGTGAGACTATATATTTGGTGAAACTGACACTTTTTCTCATACATCTTCTATATATTTGGTGAGACTGCCACTTTTTCTCATACATCTTCTATATATTTGGTGAGACTTACACTTTTTCTCATACATCTTCTATATATTTGGTGAGACTGACACTTTTTCTTAGACATTTTCTTTTTAATATCTGTTCCCACCATAAAAAAATATATTTCAAATCCGGTGATCAGGTAAATAGTTTAATTAGTTTTGTATTAAGGGGGGTGGGGGGCGCAGTTCTTCTCTTTCTGTAACCATATTATATTTTGGAGCTATATGGTTAGTATCCTATTTTACTACTCTAAGAGTGAGTAGGAATGTCCTGCATATCTGTTTAGAACTTTGATGCTAAATTGCATGCTTTTCCTTGATGCTATCTCTGATCCATGTTTACTGTTTTGTATAGCTAGTAACTAAATATGTTGGGATCCAGATGAATATTAATAATATTTGTACCATGCCAGGTTCACTGGGGTGTATCTGGTTCGTTGCCTGGATGTTGATTGTCCACAACACTCCGGCTGATCATCCACGGATATCATCCTCGGAGAGGGAGTACATTGAGAGCTCTATAGGGAAAAAGGAGGTAAGACAAGTGTTAAATGAAACTTTCTTTTGATAAGTCAGTTTTGACTGATAACTTAATTGTTGATATGGGATGGAGTGGCCTAGCGGTAGAGTACTAGACTGCTAACCCGTAAGTCTCAAGTTTTAATCCGGATTCAAGTCAGTAGACCACCCCTGAGTCCACCCAGCTCTTATGGGTACCCAAGTAAAGGTGGCTGGGCATAGTGCTGACCCCTCATATGCCGAGGTCACTGTAACTGGCGAACTCTACTTCTATTTCAAAAGGGAACCTAAATTCTTGATACAAGAAATTTTCAATAGTAATGTTTTGTTCCTGTATGTACCTGATAGGAGTCTTGTATCAGTAACCTTGTAATGCCTCACTAGTAGACATACTTACAAAGTGAAAAATGCTAAAGCTTCACATAAGGAAACAAAAATTATTTCTTCTTCCCAGACAAATTTCTGCAAATATTAAATTTAACTCAAAGTACTCTCATCTAAATTTAAAAAAAATTATCACTAGAATTAGAATGAATATCTATCTATTTTACCAAGAGTTTTTATTTTATGGAAATCCTTCTACTTTAGTGAGTGGATTTTAAATAAGTATTAATGTAACCCTGAAGTGGAGTACTAAAAGCATTTGTTATCTGCCTTTTTTCTAAACCAAGAAGCATACCAGATTTCACACATAAAAAGATATTGTTTTTTCTTTCTTACACCCACAATTATTTGCTTGCATTACCCCACTATATTTCTTAACCATATCATCACAAATGGAAATTAATTGTTCATATTGTTCCATATATTCTTACATCAACCTTTGTATATTTACATCACTCAACCCTTTTCTGAATCATAAAACAATATTTTACAAGTATAAAATGATTGTTTATGTAACGTTCCATTCATATTTACCTCACCTGTTGTTTGACCCAGGATATCAGCACACCATGGAAACAAATCTTCACCTGCCCAGCTGTCTGGGCCATAGCTGTAGCACATTTCTGTAACAACTGGGGCTTCTACACCCTCCTCACCTGTCTGCCCACCTACATGAAACAAATTCTCAAGTTTGACATGAAAGAGGTAACTAATTGTGACCCAAACATGAATCTACAATATAAAGATGTTAACTGATGTAGAGTAGTAGACTAATATTTTTAATAAAATGTAATCATATTTGCTGTATGGACAGAGGCTCTGGAAGCAAATACTTAAAGAAAAGCAGATTGTGTGAATTTTTAGTCAACTGCCTGTATTGTGCTTAACAAGTTGACACGTAATAATTGTATTTGAGGAAATCTCTTCCAATGTTATAATTAAGAACAAATTTAAACACTTTTTATTTCACAATTTTTACTGCTCTTTTTTTCATTAATTTTGAATTAGACTTTTTAATGTATTACTTAGTTTTTTAGCTTAATTAATTATTAGATTACATGAAATGGTATTAATTAATATTTTTATAATTTTGGCAAGGCATTATGATATTGTGTAATAGCTCTTTTTTGACTATTGTATCTATCAGTTTTTGTAATGGGGTTAGGGCCAAGGCAATGTTCAGGATTAAGGTTAAGTCAGAGTGGCAATACCAGAAATAAAATAGATTTGATATCCCCTCCCAGCAATACTTTATTCTTTTTATTATTGTTTGAATATCAAGTAATAAGTAAACTACCATTTTTTGTTAGGTTGAAGGCATACTCTTTGAATGTATTGATCAGTATTGATTTGACTCATCTGTTCAGAATGGCATACTGTCAGGTATTCCTTACCTGGTGGCCTGGGTCATGCAGACGGGTTCTGGTTTTGCTGCTGATTTCCTGCGAGGGCATGGCTACCTGTCTACTGGAAACACACGCAAAATATTTAACACAATAGGTAAGACTTATAGGATGTATAGTGTAATGTGAATACTAAAGGTAAGGTGGTGCTTATAGGATGTATAGTGTAATGTAAACACAATAGGTAAGGTGCTGCTTATAGGATGTATAGTGTAATGTGAACACAATAGGTAAGGTGGGGCTTATAGGATGTATAGTGTTTGAACACAATAGGTAATATGGTGCTTATAGGATGTATAATGTGGTGTAAACACAATGGCTAAGGTGGGGCTTATAGGATGTATAGTGTGGTTTGAACACGTTATACAAGGAGGGGCTTATGAGATGTATAGTGTTGTTTGAACTCAATAGGTAAGGTTTTTTACTAATGTAATGCAAAATTACTAAAATGTTTAGAGCAATGCCACCTACATGTATGTTATTATAATACCACACAATGTAAATGTGGTGTAATTTTAGTGATACTACGTAGTAGGAGAAGGTTATAATTACACATAAGATACGCTGCAAAACAATATCTATTTTATATCTATTACGTATAAATGTCCTTTAGTAAGGGCTATCAAACTTTAACAACAAAATAATGTTAAAGTATCATTGTTATGTATTATTTCTAGATTTAGGGCTATGGTTAGGAACATAATTAGCAAAACTAGCAAAGGAACAATATCAAATACATTTTAATAATTTTCCTGTTACATTATTGCACGCTTATCATTTGTATGCTACATTATTAATACAATAATAGGAGTGAAACATCCCACAAATATTTAGTGAGGTTAGTATAATAAATAGACCTTTTGAATTAGACCTGCTCTTTTTTTTTTAAGTATGAGAAACTGATCTGATATATTTCGGTGTTTTTTTTATCTAGCTTTTTATTTTCAGGATTAATATGATAACTCCTCGCAGTTATGGATTATTTTAGCTGTAATCTAAATTTTTGGCACTAGGGCTGATAACTCTTGATGTTTTTCCAGGGCTGATAACTCCAGGTGTCTTGCTGATTGTGGTGGGTTATGTGGGCTGTGACCATACCCTGGCCATGACCTTCCTGTCCCTGGGTGTGGGGCTTGGGGGGTGCATCATGGGAGGCTACAACATCAACCACCTGGATATAGCCCCAAAGTTTGCAGGTAAATGTTTAATATTCTGCTTGCTGTAAACTGTATGCTTGTAAACGTACAATATATAGTATATGTTATAGGCTACGGGTTATTTATATTTTAATTAAATTTTGCCCGTTTCATTTACACCATTTTTAGATAAACTGCAATTATTATTAATACTGATTTAAATGTTTAAAACAATTGAATTAATAAAAAAAAAATTAAAAAAAAAAGATAAAAAAAAAAAAGCACAATAGTAATCTATGTTTTTAAAATTAATTTGTAAACATATTTGGTATAGAAGTATTTAATGTAGTGGAAGAATTCTCATGCAACATTTAGCAATATTTCATCTTATTATTCATTTTGGCTGCTTCTTTTATAACATTTTCTTAAACCTCTTTATAAGGACATTAAAAATCTTCTTTAAATATTGATTTGACAGAACCAAAGTTGTGTAATATATGGAACGGTTAATTAAATTCTAAATGTAGTAGTGTAATGGAGAGAATGAAATACTCTTTGTTAAAATTAAAAAGCAACCATTTAAATATTATGATTTAGAAAATTCACTGCCCTTTAATTGCAAGATTGTCAAAAAAGAGTTTTATTAATAATCTCATATAGAATTTATAAAATATTTAATTTCTAGGTCTCCTCTTATAGCTAAATTATATAAGAAAACAAATGTTAAATAAATATGTTTTGCAAATATGTTGCCTGGTTATTTTAGTATTACAAAAGCTACAGTAAATTGTCTTGCTTGTTGTTGTATTTTGTATACCACTTAAAATATCATATTTGGCTTAATTTTTAATTATACCATCGCAGGTGTTCTGATGGGGATAACCAACGGCCTGGCCACCATACCTGGTTTTGTTGGACCTGCTGTAGTTGGCTACCTGACAAACAACAATGTAAGTTTATGTTGGTCATTGGTAGAACTGTTGTAGTTGGGTAGCTCACAAATAACAATGTAAGTTAGTAGTGGTCATTGGTAGAAATGTTGTAGTTGGGTGGCTTACAAACAATGTAAGTTAGTGTTGGTCATTGATAGAACTGTTGTAGTTGGGTCGTCATTGTTAGAACTGTTGTAGTTGGGTAGCTCACAATGTAAGTTAGTTGTCATTGATAGAACTGTGGTCATTCTAAATACCACTCACACTTTATTTTAGCAACCGGACTTTTTTTGTGGCTATAGATAAAAGCTACCAACTTCCTAGGTTTAATAAAAAATAAAGCCCAAAACGAATTAATTTATAAATGAAAACAGTTTGAATTATGTTGAGTTTTGATGTTGGTTAAGTTATGCTCTCAGTGAAGAAGAACATGTTCCCATCCCATGTTTGTTAAGTTATAAGGTCAGTGGAACATGTTCCCATCCTATGTTGGTTATGTCAGTATAGAAGAACATGTTCCCATCCTATGTTGGTTAATTTATAATGTTAGTATAGAAGAACATGTTCCCATCCTATGTTGGTTAAGTTATAATGTTAGTATAGAAGTACATGTTCCCATCCTATGTTGGTTAAATTATAATGTCAGTGTAGAAAAGCATGTTCCTGTGTTGGTTAAGTTCTAATGTGAGTATAGAAGAACATGTTTCCATTTTATGTTGGTTAAGTTATAATGTTAGTATAGAAGAACATGTTCCCATCCTATGTTGGTTAATTTATAATGTTAGTATAGAAGAACATGTTCCCATCCTATGTTGGTTAAGTTCTAATGTGAGTATAGAAGAACATGTTCCCATCCTATGTTGGTTAGTAGAAGAACATGTTCCCATCCTATGTTGGTTAATTTATAATGTGAGTATAGAAGAACATGTTCCCATCCTATGTTGGTTAAGTTATGTCACTATAGAAGAACATGTTCCCATCCTATGTTGGTTAGTAGAAGAACATGTTCCCATCCTATGTTGCTTAAGTTATAATGTTAGTATAGAAGAACATGTTCCCATCCTATGTTGGTTAAGTTATGTCACTATAGAAGAACATGTTCCCATCCTATGTTGGTTAGTAGAAGAACATGTTCCTATCCTATGTTGGTTAATTTATAATGTCAGTATAGAAGAACATGTCCCCATTCTATGTTGCTTAAGTTATAATGTGAGTATAGAAGAACATGTTCCCATCCTATGTTGGTTAATTTATAATGTCAGTATAGAAGAACATGTTCCCATCCTATGTTGGTTAAGTTATAATGTGAGTATAGAAGAACATGTTCCCATCCTATGTTGGTTAAGTTATGTCACTGTAGAAGAACATGTTCCCATCCTATGTTGGTTAATTTATAATGTGAGTATAAAAGAACATGTTCCCATCCTATTTTGGTTATAATACTGTAGAAGAACATGTTCCCACCCTATGTTGGTTAAGTTATAAGGTCAGTGGAACATGTTCCCATCCTATGTTGCAGCAAACCAGAGGCCAGTGGCAAATTGTCTTCTACATCACAGCCGCCATCTACTTCTTCGGTGCCGTGTTCTATGACGTGTTTGCCAAGGGGGAAGAGATGGCCTGGTCCAGGTGTCCATACAAGGAGAGGATCCTTGAAATAGAGGAGTCCCCACCACCTGCACAGGCCAGGGGTCAGGGGTCAAGGTTGCCCATTGCCAACACAGATCTACCACCTGCATATTCTGAAGAAGAGTAAACATTTACGTAGAAATAGATTCAGTGTCAGATTATTTTGGAAACATTATTTTATAACATCAGCTGTTGTAGATAGAGCTGAATTCATTAGGAATAAATTTTTAAAAAATCAGAATGCTTAGGTAGAGCTAGACTCATTGTAGACATACACAGGAAAAATCATTTTTTTTATAATCACAATAGTTTGATAAAGCTAGATTCATTTTTAATAATGATGAAGATATTTACAACCTGTGAGTAAAAATCATGGGTGTGAATGCATACAGTGTATTTCTTACTCAATGATGAGTGTTGTTAATTGTAAATTGTATAAAAAATCTTGTGTAAATGTTTACATTGACAGAATTATGTGTTTAATGTCAATAATGTAAAATACTTATAATTTTAAGAGCAAAATATTATGTTGGCAAATTTGAGTATAAATAACATGCTCATAATACATTACTAACATATAATTGCAATTACTGTTCTAATATATTATAATGTACCTTGTATTAGGTATTCAAAATGAAATTTTTATAATGAAATTAAATAAAATTTAACACTTCCACCTGATAGAGACTGTTTTCATCAGAACAGAAACACCAAATTTATTGATGTATGTCCATTTTTAAAAAAGTTATGAATTTTTTAAAACTCAAAAAATGCGTTCGCTTTTTTAACAGTAAAGGGTCTATTTGAGACCCCTACTAACTTTTAAAATAACTAAGTTAGAACTCTCAAATTTCTTGCACACACAGCCAGTAATACAAATAGCAAACCCAATTTTTTTCAAGGTAGTCAGACAGATATAAATAGAAAATTTATTCACATAAAAATGAGCCAAAGCACAATTTTACCAAAGTACAAAAAGGGAGACAAAAAGTTAATTTACAGTCATTTTTAAAAAATCATAGAAAATCAACTAATTAAGCCACATTAATAATATAAATGTTCTAAGAAAGGAAATTCAAAGCATGTTAATATGAAATAAGCAGGTAAAGAATTAATAAAGAAAGTAATTAGCGAGACCAGATTCAGCAAGGTCAGTTTATAAAAATTAGAAATTTCATCCTTTTTCAAAAAAATGATTAAAAAATATTTAAGTAAGGTATCTCAATAAATTTTACACCAACTTAAAGCACATGATGTTCTTAATATATAATAAACACAGAAACATAAAATAATCATTCTGCAAAACAATACAAGGCATCCTTCCTTAACGCCCAAAATCAAGAATTTTCATTACCTAACATTTTGCAAAAAGTGTTCTTACTTTTAAGAAAGTAATATAAATTGTGTAGGAAACATGATAGCATTACTTTGTTATGAAAAACTGAATAACTCTACTATTTCTTTACTTATATACTATAAAAAGAAGAAATTCCATGCATTTTAAAAACTGATGAAGTAAGATAACTAAACTAAAATTCTTTTTAAATGACCCTAATAGAGTTGTGATGTTCATCTAGTTTTGTTACTCTGGTTCCTAATCATGACTTGTTTAGCATAAATTTACTTGTTACTAGTATATTTATTTCTTCTAGTTAGTTATTGATCAAAGTCAACTTCTGGAAATGTCTAGGTCCTAACTTATACAATTATCAGAAATCTTAGAGCAGGTTCAAAAAGACAGGTCAATATTCTGATTGGGAAAGTTCTCTATGAGGTTGGGTAGCATTTTAATTAATAGTCAAAATCCTGGTTGAGTTTGTCTTCTTCATGGTTTGGAGTAGCATTGTAATAAATGATTGTGAACTGGCAGCACAGATCAAATTATGGAATCGTAGTAGTAAGGGATCCTTCCATTGGTCCAGAGTATAGAAAATGTCTGTGAATTAAAACAATTAATTATACTGACTTATATAGCAGGCCTGTATATCTTTATACCAACTTAGATATCAATCATGTAACATTACATCATTATAAATAATAAGCAAAGTGCATACAATACTAACATTTGACATATGGTTTCCTTCAAAAGTATTCAGGAGTCCTGTTGTTGCTTACACAACAATACAAATTGTTTGGTAGGCCAATGAGTTTCCCCTTTCTTTTATGCTAATATCTTGCTCTGTAAATAGAATAATAATAATAATAAAAGTAATGCTGCTCAATGCTTTTTAGATATTAAATGTAAGCACTATAGATAGTTCTACTACTAAATATTATTAATATGAAAGCAATAGTGAATCTAACTAATCTAAGTAGATCTAGACTAAATCTAGAAACAACTTTGGACTAAACTATTATGGAAGGGGGGTTACATTTTATTTTAAGTCGTCTGTACAATAAATCTAGAGATAAAAAATGTAAAAGATCGTAATATTCTAAAATTTAATGTAACTGCTGCACATATATAGAATAGTTAACTATTATTAAACTAGGAAAGACAGAAAAGCAATGCTACAATAAATTGAAAGTATGCTGTTAACCGCTGCGGTAATATAATAGTTGAACCCGACACTACGCGAAAGTAAGAAAAAACATGGCGGACAGTCGGCTTGAAATATCGACAAAATATTGATAGTTTAATGGGCCGATGTTATTAACTAACATAATTTACTAAAACAAATTAAATTCTATCATCCTTTTAAACATCTTTTTGATTTAATTGTGCATTCCTTTTTTATTTCAGTGACCATAAATTAAATACAACGGACTTTTAAAAAAGGCTAGATAATTTTTTGGAAAAAATTTTTTTAAGCGTGGAGCAATTACCGATAAGCGGACACTAATATTCAAATGTATTAAAGCAGCAGTTAATCATAAATAAATAGAATATAGCTAGTAATATAATGTGCATTCAACTTACCTGCACGTGCTTTTAAATCCACTGTAATCAACGAATAAACACAAAATCTTGCTCTGAACCGAGGTCGGGTGTTCCGGAATTCAACAAAATCTTGACTCAAGCCGGCGAAATTTAGATGCGGGTCGTCGCGATTTGTATACATTGGTTTCATTTACTGCGGTCCGACCCCATACATGGAGTGTTCATTAAATCGTAACAGTTTTATGGCAAATTGGATGCCCTTTCGGAATATGCAACTTTGGCGGCTGTAAAATTATTTTTTCATGGAAAAAAATCATTTTAAAATTTTAAATTGAACATTTTTAGCATTTAATTATATTATACAGCTGGTAAAGTTATACCATCTTACAGAGCTACCATTCTTCTTTCTAAATCAGTGGTTTCTAATTGCGTATGTGTTATGGGGTCGGACCGCCGCGCGATGCCGCAACGCGACCAAAAATTAAAAAAACCGGCTTAAATTTTTCGGCTCATTTAGAATACCTACTTGTATATTTTAAATAGAAAATTTATGTTATCTTTAAATGGCAGAAATTAGTTAAAATTTAATTTTTTGATTGTTGCATGTTTTTTTTTTTGTTACTGTTTATGATTAATATTGATTTGAAAATGCTTATCTGTACTACACATTACAATTTAATGTTGATTACGACTGTGATTATACCAGTGTTTATATCATAACTTATCAAATTTATGAAAATTTACTGACTGTAATTTCATAACAAAATTATATGACACAAGTAAATAGAACATCATCTTGTTATAATGAAACAAATAGGAAAAAAAAGTATATATTGTCAATCATGATATTATGTTGGACACAATATGTATGAACTCTTATCGATCTTTCAGTATTGCTTTCATTCTGTTTCCTTAATTCTACTATAATGTGCATATTTTAATTTCTGTATAGCTCATGATAATATTCAACTCAATACTTATGACATGCTAATATAATCAGGCCTTACTCTGGCTAGTAGCAAAAGGGTTAATGGTGAATAGACACTGTTCTGTTTTTTTTCTTTGTTAAGCACTTTGTTGTTGTTAATAATTGAATAATTGCTGTGAGATTTAAAGATCCTTTAGTTGTTTTAAAAAAACATGTCTTGGTTACTCACTTTCTCTGTATTTTATTCAGGAAATCCTTTTTTTGTCATTGAATACTATTTTCAGCTGAATTTTTTTTAAGAACAGAAAAAGAACATCTTATGTTAGTAATTTTTATTTTTCCATACCATTTTCCTATTTCTTTAAATTTCATAATCCCATTTGGAAAATGTCTGGATAGTTGAGCAGTTATTCAGGCAAACACAATACTTTGACCCTGTAACTGGCACATAAAAGTGTTAATTTTTTGTGCTCAGTTAAACCGTGGCTCATCATATACACTGTGACTGGCCAGTAATGTTCTCACATCATGTTCCTAAAAGCTTGGGAGACTTATGAAATTTATGTCAAATATTCACAAGCCAAGTTAGTACAGAGCTAATTTTAGAAGGTTCCCATTCTAAAAACTGCTAATCTTATTTAAAATAGCTTCTAATCTAACACAGCTTACCTGATATAATAGGTTATAACTAATTTTCTTAATTGGCTTACAATGCTGTTATTGTAATTATAATATTTTATTTATTTTGTCAGGAGACCTGTTTTTGTTACCTTACAATTCTAACCAAAACATAATATCCACTTCCCAATGCCTACTGATATCTCATTAGAGGCCACTTCATCGAGATATCTTAGATATAATTATTTATTTGTTTGTTTGAAAGAAAAACATTCCTTCAAAATAAAACTGTTGAAAAATGTCTTTAAAACATAACCAAACTGTACATTGAAATGTTTCAAATATAAAATTATTTGTTGTTTAATTCATAATTATTTGACTTTTTAAACACACTGCTTTTTTTTTAGAAACGGTTAGAAACGGCTGATCTGTTTGGCATTTAACTGTATATAGTGCACAGAATTGTGTTGCTAGTAAAAATCAATTTTTTTTTTCTCTTTCACTAACCTAAAAGCATTTTCTAAGAAGCCAAAACCTTCAGACTATAAAAAAGCTTAACTACCTTCCAAATAGATAAAAGCTTTTTAAAAAAAATGTTTTGTGTGATTATATTGGCACCAGTTCTAGTGCAATATGTTGTTATTTCTTAAAACTTACAGTGTAGAAACCACCTCTTACACACCTGTATAATACTGTACAGTTTTTATTAATAGTTTTAAATTAAAAATTAAACTATTTAAAAAAATAATACTAAACATTTTAATATTTATATTGTTTAAACTACCTTATTAAAAAAACTAAAGGAAAAATTATGTAATATATGATTAAAATGAACACAATGGCTTCTTAAATATTTGTTTAGCTATTAATTACTGCTTCAGTAAAAAAAAAAAAAAAACAGCAATTTTATAGACAACCCATGTGAGGGTTCATAAGTCATCCTTGAGTCAACCCAGCAGTATTTTGTACCTGATTTAAATCATAGAAATCACCCATAGAAATAAAAATCAGCTTGTTTTTGTGTTGGACACTCAATATTTTAATTATCCCTGGTACCTAAAACAGATGAGCTCTACTTCATCTGGTCTAAGAAAGATCACATTTGATCATGTACTTTACTTTCAAACCACTCCCATGTTGACACTAACATTGTTGCATTGTTTTTTATTTTATTTTTTGTTTACAAATGTGTATTTAATGTTGCTGTGTAATCTGTATAATACAAACAGATCTTATTTCTGGCATTATATAACTTAAACAGTGAAAATAAATAAATCATCAACATTTTTTAGCTTCCTATTTTATTTTATTATTTTATTTCTGAAAGCGTTTTAATGACTGAGGCAATAGTGAATATCAACTTACTTCGCCTGACACGAAACTCTAAAACATTTTTAATGAAACTTGTGCGATTGGGAACATAAAAAATACGAACATTTTCAAATGTATTTAAGTGGGTGATCTGGCTTTTGGTCAATTAAAGTTTATTAAAAACCTTATATAGAAATCCATTAAATACTATAAAATATTAGATATTTTCCCCTTTCGTGCCTAAGAAACATCGGACAGATAAATCTGAGTTCAACTGTTTAAATGATCACAGGATACAGGGGGATAGTGTGGTCAGCTTCCCCCGCCCACACCTCACGTGTGTATTTAGACCAAAGGTGGGCCACCAGCCTTGTTAGATTAAAGTTCAACACATTGTCCAAGCCGCGTTTAGAAAAACCAAGCGGTTTGGTGAAGTGACAGGAAGGAGGGATGAGTTATGTTCCAGTGGAATCAAACAAAATTAAAACCGCTTTAAGTTGATTCTTTAACATCTATATATATAATTCTCTTCTTAGAGACGCTAGAAAACAAGTTGCAAGCTCGCCTTGCAGTCACCTCTCTTCCTCTATATCGCTACCCCCCCCCCATTCCCCCCAAATGGTCTGGTGAGCTGTGGTCACGCTAAATGTTTACCTTCATAGAGCCGGGTTTAGTTACGGCTATTAGGGGCAGATAATTTAGTTTGAAACGATTTTTAACTTAGGGGAGGTAACTACGAGGGGGCTGCTTTCACGGGAGGGGGGGGGGGGGGAAGGGGGAGGGAAGGGAGGATAGTGTTTTAAAGCAAATATTTTAAGTGGCAGCATTGGTACTGTCGAATTCACAAATTATGAATCACTGAAAAGTAGAAAAAAACAACTTAATAGCGGCGTATGATACACCGCGGGTCGGCTCGTATTATATAAAATGCCTCGCAACAACCCCCCCCCCCCCCATGTATTCTGTTTTTACACACTTGCAGGGTAAATATATTACAATTAACTGTCTAGATTTATAACAATTATTATTATTATAGAAGGGCCAACACTGTATTTAGATTTCTAAATTAACAACACATTGACCTAGCCACTTTTAGAACTATGTTTCAGCCTGGCGTTAGGATTCGTGGAGGGGGGGGGGCAGAGTTTCTTCCAGGCATCTCTTCGGGGGGGCGAACCCCCCCCCCCCCCCCCCCCGAAAATTTTTTACCGCCCCCCCGAACGAAATGAAATTTATATAATTTATATAGAAAATATATACTTTTAACAGTGTCCGCCCCCCCCGAAGAAAGTTTACCGCCCCCCCGAAGATTTCAAGTGCCCCCCCCCCCCGGAGAAAAAAGTCTGGAAGAAACACTGGGGGGGGGGGGGGGCTGGAGAGCGAGGTTCTAGTCGAATATTACACAATTCAAACAAGTTATAGTTGAAAGTATAACAAATCCTAAATTCACATATTTCATTGGTATATTGAATCTGACAAGTTATCACTTTTAAAGGCAGATTGACTTAAAATAAATTAGTCAAATTAAATCGTCAATGGAAGGGGGGGGGGGGGGGGTTGCAGAGCAGGAACGTGTATCCACTGACCAGTGTATCACAATCATTGATCTCACTGACCATTTTATCGCACAATCATTGACCTCACTGTGCACTGATGTACTAAAACAATCATTATACTCATTAACCAGTGTATCACACAATCATTGATCTCAGTGCAAAGTGTATCACACAATCATAGACATCACTGTAAAGTGTATCACACAATCATTGACATCACTGACCATTTTATCACACAATCATTGACCTCACTATGCAATGATGTACCAAAACAATCATTGACCTCACTGCAAAGTGTAACACACAATCATTGACCTAATTGACCAGTGTAACACACAATCATTGACTAACCAGTTTATCACACAATAATTGACTGACCAGTGTGTCACACAATCATTGACCTCACTGACCAGTGCATCACACAATAATTGACTGACCGGTGTATCACACAATCATGTAACTTATCATAATAACACTTGTAAAAAAATCACCTTTGATCAACTGTATAAAACCAACCTGAGTAAAGCTGGGCAACTCTTCTAGTCTTCGACTAGGGGACTTTCGGTTTAGGTTTCTTAGCCAATCTCAATCAAAACATTTTTACTTACTAGTAATTTAATATGTCACATATTGTTGTCTTGGGCATTTGTAAGTTACAGACTTGAAACTACGTCACTTACCACGTGTTTAGTTTTGAGTCCCTGATTGGTTGTTCGGTGTTTATTTCATCTTGTCTAGTTCGTGTGCTCAGGTTGGCTGCTCTCTAGGTGGAGAAATGTAAACAGACCTGGTTGACCACTGGGTGACCCAAGGTGGCGCTGACGTGTATGGCGTCATCGGTAGGCGTGGG